AGAACACACACAGTTTTTTCTTTTTCTTTCAGTTTTAAAAGGCGGTTTAACAGGCAAGAAAAAAAGGGGGAAGAAAGAAGGAAGCTCGCCTGTACAGGGAGGGGGGCTCCAAAGACGAGAGACAGAATCTCCGCAAACACAGTATTAATGAAATGGCCCCAGACAGGAGACGCGGCGAGGCCACGCAGTGCTGCCCAAGGAGGGGCTCCAGAGGGTGTTTCCAAGAGGCTGGTGCCAAGACCCCCAAGGCGTCACACCTCTGAAGCTCCAGGCTGCACCCGAGACAGGATGTGACTGCAAATCAGCAGTCCTGGCTGAGCCCAGAGGAGCCCTTGGCTGCTGGACAGGATGGCGGGCGGGGACATCACACTGGGGAAGCCAAGGTGGAGATGTCATGCTGGGGAAACTAAGGCAAGGACATCATGCTGAGGAAGCTGAGGTGGGGAGTCACGCTGGGGAAACTGAGGCAAGAACATCACACTGGGGAAGCCGAGGGGCACAGACAGCAGCCACTGGGAGCAGGGAAGATAAACCAGGACCTAGGATGCCCCATCATCCCACAGTGCCAGTCCTGCTCACACAAGGGCCCCACAGACTGCCGCAGAATGTTCCAGAGACACCTTTAGTGATGTATGCAGGCCAGGAAACCGAACCACCAAACCACCAAACCAAACTAGCCACCTCCAGCAAACCAAAACGGGAGAGCATCTGCAGTCAGCCCAGGGACAGGACCTCAGGCCGCCTCTGTGTTCATTTCTACTGAGAACAGCAGGCCCTGTCCTCGGCCGCCTGTGAGGGGCACCCCTACTGCCACCTCCTTGAGGCTCAAAGCCACAAGGGGGCTCTGAACTCGAGTCTGACGGCCCCGACCCACAGACCCCACACACCTGAAGATTCCAGAGTTGCACTCGGGTCAGGGCACCCTCCCTGGAAAGCAGCCCTGCTGTATCTCCAGCCACACAGCAACCCTGAGGCTCAGTCCTCAACACTCCCTGCCTCCTAGGCACAGAGGACCTTCCCAGACAACCCACCCCTGGCCCCACTTCCTGGTCCCCACCCCCACAACTCTGTGGCTTTCAGACAGCACAGGCTGACAGACCACAGAGGCCTGGGCCAGCCCTCCCTGCTACAGGATCTGCCACAGGCTGGGCGGCCAGCCTCTCCCTCCAGGCCCCAGCAGCCTCCTCACTTCCTCCTGGAATCTGGACACCTCTCGTGACCCCATGGCCTGACTGCACAGAACAGCGTCCTCGCACAGCCCCACACCTGGCTCGGAGGTCTGCTGGTCTACTAAGTGCACATGTCCTGCAGCTGCGTAGGCAAATCCCCCCCACGCCCCAGTCCAGCTGCCAGGACCCACGCCAGGGATCCCAGGAACCAGGGCAAGGACCTGCCAGCGGGATGTGCATTTTAAACTGGTGGTTTTTTCAACCTGAGAACATTCAGGTTCCCTCTACTGGAAGACACTCAGAACGGGGCCCTATGCAACGGCTTTTCACTGAGGAAATGTCTGGAGTGCTCTAGAAAACGCAATTTAATTCCTTGGACAATTTTCTACCCAGTATACTTTCTGTTTTCACCTC